ATCAAAAATACTCATTTAATGTGGACTTACATGTTTATATAAGAGGTTTTCTTCTCCCAAAATAAAATTCTCGGATAAATTCAACATTCTTTTGAATGAGGAAAAAAGCAAACCTTCTGAAAAAATATACCTTCTGAAACAAAATAATGCAGCAGCAGATTGCTAGGTATACTAAGTGCAATATTGTTAGGCATACTAAGTGCAATATGAAAGTATGTTATTGAAAAGAAAATGTGAAAAATAGAACCAAAAACCTTCATGAAAAATTATAATAAGCCCTTTACTCCATTTACTTGTAGCTATTTCATAAATACCACAGAGAAATTGGACATAGTTTATGATGAGACTTAGAAAATTTTCTTTTTCCATAAAGCAAATGTGTAAATCTTTCCCTTTGGCTCCATTTTCTGCTCCTCCTCCACTGTGTTGATGAGATACTAAGTTCTTCCAGATTTTTGATTAGGTGAGTGGTTTACAAACTGAACAGACTCTCCAGGTGAGTTGTTTCTGCACCCAGTTTTCCTGTCACTGTATCCCCGACTTTTCCAACTCTGAAAACAATCTCAGCCAGTTCGAGTTTCACTAGCTTTGTCTGTGGAGTAGGTAACGCTTTGAGGAGCACAATGTACCTAGCTGTGGAAAGTTGAAGGACATTGTGAGCAAAGTAGGTTTTTCACTTATTAAAATAGTTGAATGAATTGGGATCCACAGCAAGTCTGGTCACTCTCACTTCAGGAATTTTTTTGTGTTGCTGTCCCAATTATTTTCCTCACAATGTCCATTTGGCAAGGATAGATTAATGAGCTAGTGACATTAGGTGGCTTTGGTCCCCTCTGGTTAAATTGTGCAACCCTATTTGAGTTGGTTAACCCTCAGCACAGAAACAAAACAAAACAAAAAATCCACCCCCACACAAAAAACCACAAACCAAATCTATGGCTTCTTAAGACTTGCTTCCCTTTTCCTTGATGCTTTTTATACCAGACAGGTTTTCCTTCTATCTTAACTCCTGTTTTCCTTAAAATTAAGAGAATTCATATTGATGACTTGTCTGACTTTCCAAAATATTAGTTTCTTGGATTGCTTTTTGTCCACTACCTTCTTTATTCTCATTGACCACGTTTCTAGAAGATTTACAGTGTTTTCTGCCTATACCAATGCAAGTACTGATCTATTGGCCTGCTGTGCTTCAGGTTTTTTTCTTCTCACTGGTTGTCTCCACTTTTCCATTCCTCCATACTTGCTGACTGCAGACTCCAACTGGGTCTGTGATCTAGCTAGCAGTTGCTAGCATTTTTCTCACTATAATAAACATTACAACCTATATGGATGTCCAAAGTGTACATTTGGAACTCCTAGTAGACCAGCAGTAAATCTTTCTTTTTCTTTCTAACTCAAGAAAGCCAAATGTAACACAAGAAACCAGGAGGGACATTTTTGTAGGAATAATTTGCTATCTGCTCTAATGTAGGTTTCAAAAATTTATTCTCTACTTTTATTGCAGACCAAGGTAAAATAGAGGGTGGAGTACATGTCCTCTGAGGACAGGTCAAAGCCCGTGCACTGTATATAAACAAACAGAAGGAGATTTAGGTTCATGGAGAGAGGAAGATAATTGATTAAGAATCTTGGGACCTGAGGAATGACAAGGCAAAGAGTTTTCCTGGGTTTTTTTCTAGCTTCATACATCCTGGACTAAATGCTAGAGAAGTAGGCAACCCCAGACTATCATAGGATAAGATTTAAAAAAAAAATCCAAATAAAAAAGTGCCTTGGTTTCTCTAGGCAAAAGACCAAGAGAAGGGTAATGTCACTAGACAAAACTTTTGGACAATAACTTGCTCTATTCCATCGAAACACTGCAGGAAACACACACACATACACACAAAACAAACAAACAAACAAACAAACAAACAACAACAACAACAACAACAACAAAAAAACACTGCCTCACTCTTACCCTAGTCAGCAATGGCTAAATAGAAAACCTGGACTCCGACCTTCACCTCCACCTTCACCAAGTATCCTTCAGGGCCCTGACCCCATTGCTGGGTGGTGTCAGAGAAGACCAAGTTGGAGCCAGGACTTCCATCCTGTCAGTCAATAGAGCAGACAGTACAAACATGACCCCTGTGTTTGCAAGGATAATATGTTGAATAAAAAGTCGACCTTGAAAGGTAACATACTATATGATTCCATTTATATAACATTCTCAGAATGACAAAATTATAAAGATGGAGAACAGATTATTGGTTGCCAGGGTTTAGAGAGATGGGGGCTAGGGAAGGAGTGGGTGTGACTATGTATAAAAGGACAGAATGAGGGAGATCTTTGTGGTGATGGAATAGTTCTGTATCTTGATTCTTGAGGTAGTTACAGAAACCTACACATGTGCTAAAAATGGCTGGGAGCTATATGCACATGTTGTATTAATATCAGTTTCCTGGTTTTGATACTATACTACTGGTTACATAAGATGTAATCACTGGAGAAAACTGAGTGAAGGGTATAAAGGATCTCTCTGTTCAGTTTTTAAAACATCCTATGAATCTATAATTATTTCAAAATAAAGTTTTAAAAAATTACCCTGACTTTGATGTTTGATATGTTTGGTAGTCACTAATGTTGTGATCCACATATTTCCTTCCCTCTGCTTTTAGGGTACACACTGGGATTGAGTCTGTTTACCTGGTCATGTGATTTGATGTGACCATGGAAATACAAGCATGAAAGAGATATTGGGGATGAAATGTAGAGACTCCATGTAAGCTGTCACTTGCACTGTCTTCTCCACTGAGGAGCTGTGTGTTGCTATTGATTGTCCTTTAACATAGGCTCACAGTGATGTGCAGAGCCCCTACTGATCCTCAAGGGACATGGAATGTGAGATAGAAAGCAACTTGCATAGTTTTTTTTTTTGGGGGGGGAAGTGGGGCACTAGAGATTGAACTCAGGGACACTCAACCACTGAGCCACATCCCCAGCTCTATTTTGTATTTTATTGAGAGACAGGGTGTCAGTGAGTTGCCTGCTTGCTTTTGCCCTGGCTGGCTTTGAGCTCACAAATCCTCCTGCCTCAGCCTTCTGAGCTGCTGGGATTACAGGTATGCCCTGCCATGCCCAGCAGAATTTACACAGTTTTAAGGCACCAGGATTTGGGACTTTTATATATAGCCATCTAGTACAACTGTTAGTGTTAGTCATAATTACCTGATCTGATCATCAGATCCAAGTCTTTGGTGGGGTCCTGACTGTAATTTCACCTTCTTCTGCCCAGGACTGCTGACTCACCACCTGACCTTATACATGATCACCACTCAAAGGATGAACAGCTTCCTGCCTCAATCCAATTCACACCCTTTGATTCCTGGACCTCAGAGCAGTGCAGCTGTTTTGACAGTGATGATGTGCAATAGGCAGGGGAGCTATGAGAGAATGAAGGGCACCCACATTCATTTCTCAGGCTGTAGCCACAAGGTAGGGCTGCCAGCTCTTTGCTTGGAAAAGCAAAATATTGAGTCCTGTATGGGCTCGTCTTTGCCTGTTCCTCTTTCATTCATCACCCTCTTTGCTCTTCCCTACCCTTTGGGTGCTTGACACAACATTCTGTATAACCAACCTCTTCTGCCTTTTCCTCTCCTCTTACCACAGGTCAATCACTCACAGGCAGTTTATTTTGCTTCAGGCCATCTCCCACATCTTCCCACAAAAACCAATCTATCCTAGAAACCATTCATTTGCTTTCTAGCTACTGGGAACAAATTTGGCTTTATTCACAAGTCAAAAGAATATCAGCATCATTCAAATAACAACTATTTAAATGAAGGCATTCTAGAAATGATGCACTGAGTTACTGATTCCTTCAAAGGAGCAGCAGTCTCTGGTGTGCTTCCTGGGATGGGGAGCTATGATGAGGGAAGGCAGGGCAGATAGACTACTTCATATGGGATGTTCAATTTCAATGTGTCTGCATTAATCAATCTTGTAGGCACCAGACGGTAAAATCATAGAAGTCAAAAAAATTCTTTTAAAATATATACAATTATGTTAAAAATTCTGAATTATATTATTATCTAGCCTAAAGGCAGTTCTCCCCTTGAGGCACACATCTGCATGCTTGGAGGAAACCAGACTCCTGGGGATCTGAGACTAAGGGAAATGAGAATAACATTGGAAAGATTATGTCAGTGTACTTACTTTGGATTCTCTGATCTGTGCCCTTTTTTCCACTCTTCGTTGGAGAGCTTGACCCTGTTGGGAGATACCGCAATGATGGCCTTACACTAAGAAGGGCTTTAGCCAAAGTAACTCCATCTTAAAATAAAACTGCAATCCCCACCAGGCAAGCCTATGGAGCCCTCCAGTATTGTCATCAGGCATACCCTGATAAAATAAGTCATTTTCCACAACCCAGATAAAACTCAGAGTAAAGTAACTGTCATTTGCCTTTGCCCTGATAAAGTCAGAGGTGAGAGATCAGGGTGGAAACCACCAGACAAGATGTCCTGACCCTAGAATGAAAGACATCACTGAGAAATCTGGTAATGGCTGGTAGGGATTGAAAGGGTGAGCAGAAGCCCCAAAATTTAACATAAATGATGGAGCAAATGGATATCCAGCCAGCCAACACTGAAGCCCACATGCCAGAGAGCCTGATGAGGACCTGGACTGACACCCCAGCTCTTATCATCTGTCTGATCCTCTGCATCATTCTCATCGCTCTCAAACTCTACAGCCACATCTTGACCCTGGTGAGAACTGCAACTTCCCCTTAGGACCCTCTCCTCAACCTTATTAAGCTCTACCTGAGGAGAAGCCTCCATAGGTTCCTGATTTGATCACTGTGGTCTGTGTGAGTGTGCATCTGTTGGACTTAAGGCCTAAGACTTTAGACTCTAGATTTAGCACTTGAGCTTAGCGTGCAGAGGGAATGTATGTAATGAGTCTGTCATGATTAAGTGCGTTAACAGTACTTATAATTGTTTACTTTGAATTCATTATGTCTATCGCAGTGCCCAACATTAAGGTTTGTCATTTTCTCAATTAAGAACCTATAGAGTGGAATTGTATTGAGTGATTTGAGTGAATAAAGCATTGAAAAAGGCAGAAGCATGTGGACTTTCTTTATTTCTCCCCCTTGACTGCATAAGTCACAACTTTGCCCATCACCACAGATACCCAGTTCCTTCTTGCTTTCAAACATGTTTATCCTTTTCTACCTCATTTCCTATTCTTATAGTGGATTAAGTGAAGAAAGAGTTTTGAATGAATAGGAGTAGGTAGAATGTGGTCATTGAAGGTTAAATGTGTTTGGCTATACAACCAGTTGCAAAAAAGTACATTTCATTACATTGTACAATGCAAATTACAGCCAATTTTCTATTTGCATTTTACATTTTTAATTGCAAAGGATTTTTGAAATCAAACCAAAAAGGTACTATTACTTAAGGGAACACAGAAATCTTCAAAAATTTTTTTTTATTTAAAGTAATTTTACATATCACAACATTCACTTGTTTCCGTTTTTGGTAAATTTACAGAGTTGCACAACCATTACCACAACCCATTTATTTATTTAAGTACTGGGGATTGAATCCAGGAATAGTCTATTACTGAGCTTCATCCATAGCCCTTTATATTATTTTGAGATAGGGTCTTGCTAAGTTGCCCAGGCTGGCCTTAAATTTTCTACAATCCAATTTTAGAACATGTCTATCACTGCAAAACTGTCTCTTGTACTCTTTGCAGTCATTCCTTATTTCTGCCCTCAGCCCTAGGTGACCACCAATCAACTCTCAGTATGGATTTACTTTT